ATTGTACAAGTAAAATGATTTAATTTATAAAATCATATGAAAAAAAAAATATGGTAATGTACGTTTGGTATCATTACATAAATAAATTACAAATTTGTGGAAACTTCTCAAAAATATCTTCATTAATTATTAAAATTTATCATAATTAATCGTAGTATTATTATGATTAATTATGATAAATATTTTAAGTGATAACCTTGGTTCATAGCATATGATACTGTTATATTCATGCTCACATGATGCCCACGGTAAATTGGTGGTGAATGATTTCAGGAAGAAATGCAAAGCCCAAGCAATAATTACGTTATAAAAGAAATCCGTATAAAATGCTATCATTATTACACAGTATCCTATTCCTGAAATTTTTCAAATTAAATTTTAACTTTTATCATTATCACTTATTTATCAGCCAGTTCCATCAATCATTTATCAACCTTGTTTATTATCGAATTTATTTCATTCACCATTTATCACTATGCTTTATATTACTGAATGTTTTATCAGATCCATTTATTATCTTCTATTATCATTAAATGCAATTGCACCTTACTATTTATCATTATTCGTCATCGTTATCAGTGGTTATGTTATCATCCATTTATATCTTTTATTATTTAAGCATACTTCACTCCACCACTTATTATTAGCATAATTCTTTATCCATTATCAATGGTTATATTATCACCCATTTATATCTCATATGATTCGAGCTTATCTCACTTTATCATTTATTATCATTCGCTATCATTTATTTCATTTAGTCATATTATCATTAAATTTAGCTGTTTAAAAATTTCAATGAAAAAATTTTAAATAATTTCCTAATTTTCTTGCCCAGTTTTAGTGTCTACATTAATCAGTGTTTAAAATTTTGCAAAGTTTTAGACCTTTGAAAAGTGGACAAATCGAACCCCACGTAGTAACTGCTCCTTTTCTGTAATATTGTCCAAGTGATAATTCCATATAAAACAATGGTACACCAGCAAAAATTACCATTAATGTATACGGTATTAAAAAAGCCCCTGTAAACAATTTAATTTTTATAACTTCCTACGATTTAATCATTTTCAAATGCTAACAATCTCATTAAATTTATCGAAATATTTTTCTTTTTTCTTCAACAGTTCACATTCCAATAATTTGAAAATTAGCCCTGAACTTAATAAAAAAAAAAAAATTAATCTATAAATTAAACAGACAGTAGATCTAAAAAGATTGATTAATTCATAATTTTTCATAAATTTTTT